TCCCTGCCCTGTATCCTCCTGCGCTTCCCTGCCCTGTATCCTGCGCGTCCCTGCCCTGTGTCCTGCGCTTCCCTGCCCTGTGTCCTGCGCTTCCCTGCCCTGTATCCTCCTGCGCTTCCCTGCTCCGTGTGCCCCTGTGCTTCCCTGCCCTGTATCCTGCGCTTCCCTGCTCCGTGTGCTCCTGTGCTTCCCTACTCCATGTGCTCCTGCACTGAGCACCAGCGCCCTGCTCCTGCTGTAATGGTAACTCCTGCTATAACGTTGCCTTTGGCTGAAGGGACTGCTGGAAATGTTCCCAGTCTTGAGCTTCCCTTCCCATGCCTGCTTTTCTTGCGAAACGTTATGTTATATAAAAATAAAAGTAGAGGAAGAGCCGCCGGCCTGGGAAGCGCTCGAGTGTGCGGGTAGCAGCCCCAGCCAGCCCAGCAAGCCGGGCCACTAAACCCATGGCCCTGTACTGGTGTTACTGGGTGGAGACTGGCGGGTGCCTCCGGCTCCTCCAGAGGGACGGTCCTGAGCAGACGCAGCGGAGCAGCCATCCCGGGATCCGCAGCGGAGCGGCCATCCCAGGATCCGCAGCAGAGCGGCCATCCCGGGATCTGCAGCGGAGCGGCCATCCCGGGATCCGCAGCAGAGCGGCCATCCCGGGATCCGCAGCGGAGCGGCCATCCCGGTATCCGTGTGCTGGGCCGGCGCTCTTAGCCGGCCTCGCCGCAGGGCGGAATGGGCTCGCTCCCGAGTCCTGCGTTGTGGGTCTCGAAGCGTAATGGGCAGAGGAGAGGGAGTTAAGCTCCTCCATCCAGCGGCCTCCACGCGGCGGTTGGAGGCCGCAGCCTCCTGGAGGGCTCCGATGCGGTCGCTGGTGCGGCCCGAGCGGAGGGGCCGCCCGGCACGGCCCCCACACAAGTGTCACGAGTTGAGCGGTGCCGGGGGCGCCGCGGGGTCTCGAGGCTGAGGAGGGCAGCGGTGTCCGTGCACCTCCCGGCTCCGGAGGCTGTAGCCCGTGCAGCCCCTTTGCTACATGTGACCTGCCAGAGAGGAAAGGAGGGATGAGGGGGCAGTGTGACCCCCGGGAGAGCAGGGCGCCCGCCGGCCCCACACACCGCCCCATTGCTGCCGGAGGAGAGGAGAGGCAGCGGCCCTGCAGCCTCTCGGCCCTGCTGCCTGCGGGCTGATGCCCGAGGGCGTCTCGTGCTGCAGGGCTCAGGCCTCTCCCCATAGACACATGGGGCCGGCGAGGCGCCATGGGACACGGGGCCAGGCTGGAAGGGGCCCGCTTCGGAAGGGGGGAAGTACCCCATAGCGAAGGGGTGTTTCACTGCACTGCTGCCCCCAGGCAGGGGCAGGAAGGGAGCAGCCGCGGGTGCCACGTGCCCTGCAGCGACACTCAGAGCAACCCGCCCGGCTTTGGGCTGTCTGCACTCTGCTGCATGGACGTCCCGGTTCTTAACTTTGGTTTCTGCCCTCATTTCTCTCCTTTTCCTCTCCTTTCCTCTCTTTTCCATTTTGTTCTGTTTCTCTTTTTTTTTCGGTAGCAGCATCACCAGTAGGTCCTCCAGTTTCCTGTGTTCTCTGAGAGAGCAGAGAGCAAAGGAGAAGCTGGGCAGAGCTGGAGACAGGGAGCACAGGCGGGAGGCGCCTGCTCAGTGGTGCCTTGTGTGGAGGGCAGAGCGTGCAGCGCGTCCTGGTTTCCCACAGCCAAATAAGCAGGACCCACGCTGGTCAAAGGAGTAGAAAGTGCCGTGGGGTTCTGCAGCAAAATTCTGGATAACCTTGGAAATCAGTGTTTTGTAGGAACTTCGAGCTCTCTGCAGACTGC